ATAAATCTGTGTCCAATAATTTTGTGTCCAATAATGTGGTGTCGAATCGATCGGTGTCGAATCGTACTGTGGTCAAACGGAACACGCCCGGAGAAGCCATTGCAAAGATAACAGAAAGATTCGAAAAAGAGTATATAATAGTAGGAGGAGATTTTAACATAAGGACAGGGGAATTAGGAGGAGAAGAGAACGAAGGAGGTGTGGAAAGGAAAAGTAAAGATAAAATAATAAGCAATGGAGGAGACAAATTCATAGGTATAATGCAGGAGAACGGTTTAAACATTTTAAATGGGGAAGTAGAAGGTGACTGGGAAGGTGAATTCACCTATGTAGGAGAAAGAGGTAGCACAGTGATTGACTATGTTTTTGCAAATGAACCGATAATGTACAAGATAGTGGACTTTAGGGTAGAAGAAAGATTGGACTCGGATCATATGCCAATCTGCGTGAGGATAAGCAGGGAGCAAGAGGTAGATAGAAGATATAGAGGAAGAACAGGAGAAGAAGAGGCACAGAAGGAAAAGAAAGTTATCTGCTGGGACAGCGAGGCAATAGAAAGTTTTATTGCAAACACGGAGGAAACAGGTTGGATTGAAGAACAGGAGGAGAGGAGCCTAGATTTTACATGGAAGAAACTAAAAGAGCTAGTAGATAAGGCGATGATAAAAAAGGATATTAGGATCAAAACGAAAAAAATAGGATTCAAAGAATGGTGAGACAGAAGTTGCACAAAGATGAAAAGGGATACCAAGAAGAGCTATAAGAAATGGAAAAGTGATAAAATAACGAGGCAAGAATACTTAGAACAGAAGAAGGAATGGAGAAGATATATGGAAAAGAAAAGAATAGAGAAAAGAGAAGAAGAAGAGAAAACACTGAAAATGATTAGGACGGAAGCAGAGGTATGGAGATTTATAAACAAAAGGAGAAAGAAAAGAGAAACGAGGGAGACAAACCTTGAGGTGGAGGAATGGAGAAAGCACTTTGTGAACCTACTAAAAGGGCAAGAGACGTGGGAGGAAGAAGAGAATAAAGGGAGCGAGGAATGGGAAAAAGAGGATGAACAAAGAAAAGAGAAGAGACAAGGGGAAGACCCATCGGAAGAAGAAATAAGAAAGATTGTGAAGAAAATGAAAATGAAAAAGGCAGCGGGAATAGATGGCATTCCAATGGAGGCCTGGAAACTAGGTGGAGAAACAGTAAAAAAATGATTGATTGAGGTAATAAGGAAGGCATGGTGCAAAGGAAGGATACCGGAGGAATGGAGAAAAAGTATAATAGTCCCCATATACAAGAGAGGTGATCACAATGTCGCGGCAAATTATAGAGGTGTTGAGGAGAGATATGTTGTGCACTGCGTATAGAGGAGAGATATGTTGTGCACTGCGTACAAAATGTACGCAGAATTGATAAGAAGTAGATTAGAGCAAGAAGTAGAAGAGAAGGAAATTATCCCGGAAAACCAGGCAGGATTTAAGAAAGGAAGATCGACGCTAGACAATATATATGTGTTAAATCACGTGGTTCAGAAAGAAAAAGCCAAGGAGAAAGAGAAAGAGAAAGTATACGCATTGTCCATTGATTTGAAAGCAGCCTTCGATAACGTAGATAGGGAGGTGTTGTGGAGAATCATGGAAAAGAAAGGAATAAGTGAGGAATTGATAAGGAAGCTGAAAAACATATACGCAAGAACGGAAGTAGTGGTCAGAACTCCGAAGGGGCTTACCAGAGGATTTAAGGTGAATAAGGGAGTAAGGCAGGGGTGTGTATTGAGCTCTACGCTCTTCAACCTATATATTGCGGACCTGGAGGAGGAACTGGCGAAGAGAAATATAGGATGAGTTACTATAGGAAACAGAAGAATTTGGTCGCTTGCCTATGCAGATGACATCGTCCTATTGGCGAAGAATAAAACAGCGATGGAGGACATGATGGGCACACTGAAGAGATTTTTGAAATATAGGAAACTGGAACTCTGTGCGGATAAATCTAAGTTAGTTGTGTTCAATAGTAGAGGAGGCAAAGACAGCGATCAAGTTAGATGGGATAAGAAGAATATAGAAAAGGTTAGGTGTTTTAAGTACTTAGGTTTCACGTTTAATAGGAAGGGCGATTACACGGACCACATTAAGGACTTCTGTAGAAAAAGTTGGATAGCAGTGAATAAGGTGTGGGGACTGGGAGAGAGAATCTGCAGGAACAACTTTAAGAGAAGGTGGACACTCTTTAGAGATCTAGTGCAAATCGTTATGTCCTATGGAGTAGAAATATGGGGATGGGAGGAGAAGAAAGAATTAGAGAAAATTATGATGGACTACATAAGATGGGTATTCAGATTAGACTTTTGCACCCCAAGATATGTTGTACTGAGAGAGGTAGGAAAGGAAAAGATGAAAATTAGATGGGGTACTAGAGCACTGAGGTACGACATGAAGGTAAGGGGATATAGTGAAAATAACTTAGTCAAGCTGTGCAGCGAAGAGAAAAAAGAGAATGGGAAAAAGGATCAATATAGTAAAGAGAAAGAAAGGTATCTGAACAGAAATAGGTGGGGAATAGAAGCTTTTGAAAATTTACTAGACTCGAATATAGAAGTAGATGTTGAGAGGATGATAATAGAAAGAGAAAGAGATATACAAAAACAGATACAGGAAAGTCAAATAAGGGAGGCAAGATACAATAGTAGATATAAGGAATTGTATAAAGAGGAGGAGGGGCCATGTTATCTGCGAAAAGAGAGGCAGGAAGAGGGTGAGGAAGGAGATCGAGTAAGAGCATTAATAAGAGTAAGATGTGGGAATATGGAGAAAAACAATAAATACTGGATAGAAGAAGGAAAGAGAAAAAGTATCTTCTGTGAGAAAGGGAAGAATGATATAGTACATTATGTGGAGGATTGCGAGTCAAGTAAGGAATGGTTTAATATACTAGGCAAAGACAAGAGGGAAAGAATTGAAAACATATTCGATGATAAGCTAGGAAAAAAAAAGGTAGGGTTTTAGTAAGGTTGTGGAAAGAAAAAGAAAAAAGACTCAGAGAGAAAAGGAAGGTAGAAAAAGAAAACTCTAGTCAGAGGGTGGAAGAGGAGGAGGAAAGAGAGGTAGATTAACTAAAAGAAAGGAAGAACTAGGAAACGTATAAAGGCTAAGGGTAGAGATAAAACTAATTTAACTAAGATAAGATTAGATAAATTAAGATTTATAAGATATATAAGAAAAACAGAGTAATATAAGATGATGTAATATATGTAATATATGAAATATGTCCGCGAGGGAGGAATGTAAGAGGGCGTGTGTGTAAGATAAGATAGGGTAAATTAAAACCAAACCAAAGCTGTGATACTTTGTATGTATAAACTTCAAAGGGTAGGTAGGTTAGAAAAGAGAAGGAGAGAAGAGATTAGACAGAGCAGGAAAGGTAATAGAGATAACATGCGTACGCAAAAATGTGATATGTAATAGGATAAGAAATATGTAGTAAGAAAATGTAAGAAATGTAACCAAGTTCCCTTCGGCCGTCAGGCTGAAGGATTAATAAATATAATAATAAAAAACGTAATACTTACATTTAGATTATATTGTAACATTTGAAAAAAAAACAAAAAAAATATCGAGACTTGAACCAGCAGCGTCAACACTACTAACCTAGTACGATACCGCTACGTTACACGCTCTTCGATTAAACGATCTATTTAATATCTTTATGAAGTAACTCGAAATTTTCAAATTCGATTTTCTCGCGAATGCTTGAGTAGTGCGTCTTATTATTTTACCCTGCAATACTCCACATAATCTTCTATCGATCCTATAAGTTTTATCCAAATCGATTGTTCCATCGTCGTAGTCTCCCCTTGTGAGCCAAAAGAGCACCAAACCAACGCAGCTAATGTAGCGGACCCGCTCGCATGGTAATGTACATAACACCTCCGATATAACTTTTTTTTAGTAAACTGTATTGAAACTTGGTACAAAATAGCTACAACTTATAAACTTTCTATTTATAATCAATTTGTGATAAAAAATTAATTTAGAAAACAAAAAAAAATTTTTTTCGCGCCGGCAACACCTCTGATATAACTTTTTTTAATAAACTGTTTTAAATTTTGGTATGAAGTAACTACAAACTGTATATTTTAAATTTATGAAGTAGAAAATTAATTCAAAAAACGGAATAAACAAATTTTGCAGAAAAATCAGACTTCGGCAATACTTCCGACTGTGATGGCCGCGGGACTGTTTATCACGACGTGGTAGCAAGTAGCACCTCCAATATAACTTTTTGTAATAAACTGTTTTGAAACTTGGCATGAAATAACTAAAAACTATAAACTTTCAATTTATGATAAAAAATTAATTCAGAAAACAATAACAACAATTTTTTTCGTGCCGGCAACACATTTGATATAAGGTTTTTTAATACATTTTTTCGAACCATGGCACAAGAACTACGAACTATATAACCTTAACTTTATGAAGTAAAAAAGTAAAATTTAATAAATTACAAATTGATTTAATAGTACAAAAATTTCTTTTTTTAAAATACTTGTTTTCCAAAATTAAATAATACTACAAAAATTAAATAATACTACAAAAATTAAATAATACTACAAAATACAAAATGTGTGATATTTCGAAAAACTTACCTTTTCAAAAACAAAAAAAAGGTAAGAACAGACGCCAAGTACACGCACAACACGTATTGTATTTAAATTAATAAATTAAAAATTGATTTAATACTACAAACAATACTATTTTTTATAAAACCAGTTTTATAACATTATATCCCAGCAAACACAGATATATAACAGCAACATTGTCGTAATAAAACGAATGTAACAAATAATATAACATGATCGTTGCATCCATGTTAGTTGTAATTTCTTACCTATTGTATATTGCAGTTATATAACATGTAAGTAGAATGTTATATAACTGTTATACAGTTACAGAAATGTTATATAACAGTTATAATGTCATTACCAGTTAATAAGCAACATAATAGGTATATTGCATCAAGCAAGCAGAACTTGCTCAAAAAATGTAGCAGATTTGAAGCATAACGTGTTATTGTCATTTCATTCTTCATTTATTTCTATATTTTTGCTGGTTGATTTCTTTACGTATTGTGCCTACATAATTCACTCACTATGATGACACAGCTGAGTGGAATCTGCTGCAAAGTGCTGATTAAACCTGCGTGCATACTACTGGCATATTGCTATCATTTGGCTATGGGTTAATAATATTATTGTAATATTGTATTATAATATCTAATATTACACTAGTATATTGTAATTTTACTGTACTATTTCCATAATATTACGTGCTATGTGGGAAAAAAGGTAAAAAAAAGTAAAGTACAAATTATTAGCAGTTAGGTAATATTTATTTGTTCTAAATCATAAATAAAGTAGATGTGTGAGTATATATTGCGTATCATGTCGAATTGCAGTACGTGCAGTATGTGAAAAAACATAAATATAATAATATATTTATTATATATGTAGTTGCTCGCGTTTAAATTATTTTTCTGTATCTCACTTATACACAGTACACGACGTTTATCTTACAGATTGTGCAACTCTGTCCGAAAAGTCTATTAATTAAAAAATTGAATTTGTAAGTCTTTTTAATGAAAATTTGTAAATTTTTAATAACAGTTTTTCTTTTTACAAAACTCATGATTCAATTTTACTTGCAGTGCAATATATGTAATATATAAACATTTTGTTTATAATAAATAACACTAGATTTCTCAAGAGACTACTATTTTCCGAGCGAAGAATTGTGTGACAGCCATTAATCTTTCAAGTGATTAGTTTTGATATATACAGGGTATCTGACAATTAGTATAAAATCTCTCGTAGGCAAGTAGAAGAAGTAAAACTGAGTCAAAAAGTCCTATAACATTTTGCGAGATTCGCAATAGTTAACGAGTTCTTAATAAATAAAGATCCACGAATGAGCGTGCAGCCACGTACAAAATGACAGCTCGGAGCTGTCATTTTTTCGCGCGCTCGTACGCTGTAGCAACGGAATGAGAGAAACTAACAAACAGCATATATTAGTAATTAAGAATTTTTATAAAATTTCAACGTAAAACAGCTCGATGCATGCTTATTCGCGGATATTTGTGAATTAATATCTCGGTAACTATTATGAATTGTGCTAAAATAATATAGGACTTTTTGACTCAGTTTTACTTCTTCTACCTGCCTAATTGTCGGATACCTTGTATATACAGGGTGATTCCGAACAACCTTTTATCCTTGAAAATATATATTCTTGACTAAATTCGAAAACAACTTTTTATTTGATACAATTTTGTTTGAAGCTTACTTTTTGAGTTAATAAAAATAGGTGACTTACCACGAGTCGGATACAAGAGGTAGGTAGGAGCGGCGCAACTCACCGTGATTGACAGTGATTTATGTGATGCACGGATTAAGCGATACAAATTACAAATGAATAAATAAATAAGTGAAAGAATAAGAAAAAAAGAGAGAGAGAGACAGAGACAGATACAGAAACAGTGTGTGTGTAGCGATCAACTGATTGCGTCAGGCACCATACGTAATCGCCAGCGTCTAATGGTGAGTTGCGCCATCCCTGCCTACTTCTTGTATCCTGTGACTCGTGATAAGTCACCTATTTGTATTAATAACTCAAAAAGTAAGCTTCAGACAAAATTTTGTCAAATAAAAAGTTGTTTTAGAATTTAGTCAAGAATGTGTATTTTCAAGGATAGAGGGTTGTTCTGAATCACCCTGTATATATATATATCCTTGCCCTTTCGATTAATCGCTCAGACAATTGCAGTCAAACTAATTCTATAATTGAAGCTTAAAGCTTGTTACTGTAAAAATAAACGACATTGAAGCTAATTCAACTGCACGACTCCCAATGAACTAAACTCGTCACGATATTTCTACTCAATTATTATTCGAGATTATAAATCATCATCGGCAGCAGACCATTAGAAATTGATAGTCATGACAGACTTGATTTACAAGTTGCTCTTTATGATACGAGAGTTAACGGTGAAAAGTACACAACAATTGATAAATAAAATAAATGTGCACAAACACCACACACAAGACTAGGAAAAAAGCATGTTTTTCTCCAATCAGTTCGTCTCAAATCAAGTTGATTGTAAATCAAGGTGACGATAAAAAAATAGTTATCAGAAATATATCATATTGTTTGTATCATGAGAAATAAATATTAATAAAACGTGTAAAAGTTGGCACAAAACTTTTAAACGAGAGAAAAGAAAAAGCGCGATAAAATGAGAAAAACATTAATTGAAAATTTCTTAGTTATCTCACAAATTCTGCTGTGCGTTCCGCCGAAAATCTCTCAAATATCTCTATGAATTAACTGACGATAAACGCGAACAAATATTAAATTGATAAAAGGCGAAGGGATGATAAAAAGTGTGTTAAAAATCTTAGCGTTTAAAACAATGACGATAAAAAAATGGTCTATTGGCAGCAGCAAGCCGTCAAATCCCAATTACAAGTCCTGATTATCCCATTCAAATTTGTCGCCGCCCGAAAGGACTTCTTCAATTTGTGGTCCGTCTTCTGCTGTTATCGGTTCTGTTTGCGATTTACTTTCAGGTCCTTCCGGCTCCTCGATAAACGGATCTTCTCTTACATCGACATGCTCTTTTTCGCAAACGTTTTTTTCTTTGACCTAGAAGGATTTCTCGGAGTTTAACTTCTCTTAACGATATTGACAAGTGGTTCTTCAACTATTCTATTTCTGAGAAAAATCCTCATAGTCAACTATAATTATTCTGGAAAATGCCACGTAATTCGCTTACCCGTGTTTCGTCATCTATGATAATGTCACAAGGTCTCTCTTCGTTTTCCTGATCAGTCACTTCGCCAAGATCCGCTGGATCCTCAGCGCAACTGATGTCTCTTAGCTCGCTCTCTTGAAGTTGCAAGACGTCCACCTCTTCCTGTTCCTGCTTTTGATGCTGAACCTCCTCGAGATGTTCCTCAACTATCAGTATCTCTTGCTCCTTAATCAGCGCGTCTAGTTTTATCTGATTGGCTAACCTATCAGGAGGTGACATAAAAAACGTATTGAAGATTCTGTAAATTTATCAAATTAAATATTTATTTGTGTATAAATATCACATACGCAATTTATAAAAAAGAGTAAGTAAAAAAGGTCAAGTTTTTACCTTCGTGCGGATAATAAACTTCATATTGATTATTGTTTCACTAGAAAGACAAGGAGAAGGAAATAACGGGCTATACTTGATGTTCAGGTAAAATTCTTTTTTACTCCAAAGATTTAAAAAAAGATACAAACGTTTCGATCTACTATGGGATCTTTTTCAATGTCTCTACATAAAAAAATTACAATGAATAAATGATCTATTCGCGACGATAATGAAGAATATAGATACAAAAAAGATACGCTACAAACATAGTAGCCTTTCCTCGGTTTGAGGAAAAAAAGGAGGAAAGAATTGGTATATTTTATGAAAAATATGGTTGCAGCTTGTCTGTGTCCAACATGACGTTAATTGAATTGCCTTGTAATTTGATGTGTATCATCTCGGAGACGGACTTCTTGAAAAATGAAGATTCTGTGTCCAAATGGAACTCTGATATTTTGCCACTTGAAATTGTGGTCCGTATCACTTCTATGCTGTGTAACGACAGAAACATTCTCCGCGCAACGAATGATCTGATTTTTGTGTTCGTAAACCCTAGTTTTGAGTTGTCTTAGGCCGGTATTCATAGTCGGATCTTGTATTTAAGATCGTCTTAAGTTTATCTTCAAATTATATGCGAGTAATTTTATTGGCCGCAGAGCATCTGAAGATAAACTTAAGACGATCCTAAATATAAGATTCGACTATGAATATCGACCTTATAGTCTGGCCTACGTAAGAAGCATCGCAATCATTACATTGCAACTTATAAACTACGGTTTTTCTTTGTTCAATTTCTACCGAATCTTTGATATTTTTAATAAATCGATTCAATTTACTGAGACTTCTATAAGCTAACATATTTCCATCTCCTGTTTTCAACGATTTCGAAATTTTGTACGATAATTTATTGATAAAAGTGCAACCGTCAAAATAATTTTTGACGGTTTTAAAATTGGTATAAACTCTGAACTGTCCGATATTCCGTTAATTTTGTTCGCGAACAGATATTTCACGGTTATTGATGACTTAAAAAATTATTTCTAAAGGATAGTTGTTGGAGACAACTTAAAACTAAGGTTTCCGAACACAAAAATTAGATTAATCGTCGCGCGGAGAATGTTTCTGTCGTTACACCGCATAGAATTGATACGGACCACAATTTCAATTGGCAAAATACCAGAGTTTTGGACACAAAATTTTCAGTTTTCAAAAGATCCGTCTTGAAGATAATACACATCAAATTATAAAGCAATTCAATTAACGTCAGAGTCGGATACGGACAAGCTAAAACCATATTTTTCATTTTTAGAAAATTACAAGGCGACATAGTCATTCTCCGTTCGTGTTTTAGCGTTGTGGTGAAGGGAAGAGATCGTTACATGTACTATGAATTTGGAGGGAGACTGCTCAGTCTGTCGGTTGTATTTGTAGCAGAAGGACGTTTCGCGTCATGTAGCGCAATACTGACGATTACTTTTAGTTGCCACTTCCCTCTCTCTCATTTTTTCTCAAAACTGAATATGTTTATAGCGTATCTTTTCTGTATCCATTCTGTATTCTTCTTTTGTCGCGTATAGATCATGCATTGTTTGTAAGTTTTTTATGTAGAAACACTGAAGTATTTCTTATAATGGATTGAAATGTATATACTTTTTTTTCTAAATTCTTGGATTAAAGAAGAATTTTATCCGAACATCAGGTATAGTTCGTTATTTCCTTCTGCTTATCTTTTTATTTAAACATACAACGAAACATAATTGATTATTGTTGTTGGAGTTCTAGAGAATATGAAAAACCTATTTTTAAATCAGGGAATCAATGGAAACTTGGTGAACTTAGTAATAAAAATGAAATATTGAGATATCAACTATTTGCAAATATCTATGTTACAATATCTGACATACAATTAAACCAATGTTTGCAAAATATAATAGTACAAAAAAAATACTTTTGGATCAAGGTCATGTTTCTATTGACATACAGCGATATTGGCTTGACGATGCTTCGTATATGCTTTACTCTTTCCTCCCTCTTTCTTACAAGTAAGCCACAATCGTTGAATGTTAACAGGGACCTGCTTTTGGTCAAAAAATAGTTTTGTACCATATTTTGCAAAGATTGGTTGAACCGTATGTCAGATATCGTAACATTACAATGATAGCTGCGTTTATTTGATATCTAAACCCAAACAGCACATATGTCTACAATACATCCAAAAGATATCCAGAAGACGTTTTGTCGTCTCAAAAACGTTTTCGGGATATTTTCTAGACCTCTTTTGAATATGCTGTGCTGTCTGGCAATAATATTCCATTTTTATTGCCAAGTCTCACTAAGTTTATTGGTTTCCAGATTTAAAAATAAATTTTTTACATTCTGTAGGATCTCAACAACAATAATCAATTAATAGAGAATCGTTAAGCTCTAAAGTCTCTAAACTAAGTACATGTATGTACAGTTATGAGAGCCGTTCGTTGGATGTTGTGCGGAAATATGTGTACACACACACACACACACATACACTGAAACTTCATTTATTTTTCCTCTCACTTATCTTCCCACGAAATCTCTCAGTTATATTCCAACTTAGCTTCCCCTCTAACCCCTACTCGTACTTCTCTCTCATTCCCCACTCTCGCACTTAGCAGAGCGAACGAGGCGCGGGAAACGGCATGATTTGCAGCAGCCAATCACATTGCAACCGTAATAGAAAACCACCTTAACTTTGCAGCAGTAATGGGATCCCTTCTGAAAGGAAAATAAGTGAAGTGCTCATATTTCACGGGTAGGAAAATAAATAAAGTTTCAGTGTATATATGTACGTGTTCACGTGTAAATCTTACACGTGAGTTTTTGAATTAAGATTTTAATTCTTAAATTCATATAGAATGCTATATTTGCATCTCATATATGAGAAACTCCGTATACTTTTTTAACTAATTTTAAAATATTGCGAAAAAAACTCTTCGGCAAACAATAATCAACATGAATTTTACTATCTGCACGAGGGGTAAAAATCGACTCTTTGGTAATTATTTAGATTAGGAGTTTCCTCACCGATTTTGATGAGCTTAAAATATGTTTATAGAGTTTTTTTTGCAATATTTTAAATTAATTTGGGGGGTATCCGGGATCCTTCATATACGAGATGCAAATCTAGCATTATAAATGATTTAAAAGAATTGAAATTACAATTCAAAAACTCACATGAAAATGTGAATTCGTTTATATGTGTACACATATGTATATATATATATATATATATAGACATATTCTCCGCACAACATCCAGCGAACGGCGGTTCAAGACCAATTATATTTATTGATTACTTGAGATATGTTGCTAAAGACGTTATTCTGAACAACTTTTCCCTTTACATGTTACCGCCGCTCGGTCTTAGTTTCCGAGATATTCGCAAAAGAAGTTTCACAAATAAATTCTTTGTTTTCCAACACCGTGTCGATTTCTGAAGTAAATATGTTGTTTCTATAACACGTGTAGGCAGAGGAGAGGCTTTGCTCTACCGCAGGGCAAAAAAGCGAATGTAATCGGAAGTCGTTCCTTATTTTTTTTGTGAGAGAGCAGGGGAAAGGACGCTTACACCATTATATTGTCGAATTCTTGTTTAAAACATATGACCGCAGCTCGGTTTTCATTTAAAAGATAATCACAAAACACTCGGTTAAGTATTAAATAATAAGATAACTACAATTTATATTGAACTTTACTATATTACATTATGATTATTTCAAATTAAGAATATTTCAGTATTCAATCAACAGTATTAACAGTATATAATCTTTTAAACAAGAAGTCGACAATATAATGTTGTAAGCGTGTAGGCCCTCCCCCTGCCCCCCTCTAGAAAAAATAAATAAATGACTTCTGATTAATCAAAAGTCCTATTTCCTATTTTTCCTTGAGGGGGAGCCTCTCCTTCTGCAGGGGGCGTAGCCCTTCTGCCTACACGTGTTATACAAACAACATATTTATTTCAGAAATCGACACGATGTTAGAAAACGAAGAATTCATTTGTGAAACTTTTTTGAGAAAAAACTTGGGTAATTATTTACAATAGAGGAGCCACCTCCGATTTCAATAATTTTTACATATGTTGTCAAGGTCATTGTCCCGAGTAATAATATGAAGGTTTTAGGCCGCGGACGTGGTTTGTTTAGAAGTTATGAGAGGAAGAAGTTTCATGAATGAATTCTTATTTTTCGGTTTCACGTACATTTCGTTCGTGTTTCAAGCGTGTAGGCAAGCGTGTGTTCATCAAAATCGAACGTTTTCTTAAATGCAAATTCGGCCAAATAATAATCAAAAAGATATTCTTCACGAACATAGAGGCATTTTCCATGAAACGACCTTTCAAGATACAACTACAAAAGCGTATAAACAAACATGTGCCCAAACACACGCAGAACACCTATTCATATATAGGATGTCCAAAAATTACATATTGTTCAGTAGACTTCTTTCCTCTGTAACTTCTAAACAAACAACGACCGCGGCCTAAAACCTTCATATTATTACTCGGGACAATGACCTTGACAACATATGTAAAAATTATTGAAATCGGAGGTGGCTCCCCTATTGTAAATAATTACCAAAACTTGAAAACTAGAGCCGAGCGGCGGTAACATGTATAGGGAAAAGTCGTTCAGAATAACGTCTTTAACAACATATTTCACGCTCATCAAAATCAGTGAGGAAGCCTCTAATCTAAATAATTACCGACTCTTTTTATTTACCTTCTTTTTGCGTTATTGTGTAAAATATATTAATTATAATAAAAGAGTAACATCTCAAATATTACAAATTAAATTTTTTTACATATTAAATGACAAAAAACAGCCCCGACATCATGAAAGACTCAGAACTTTTAGATGATGTATATTTACCGATAAAGTGTTAGATAAATAAGCACATTAAATAATGTCACAAGTTTTATATAGATAGAGCTTTATATCTGTTGTTTACCTATTTACGATGACTTTCAACCCACGCTCATTTTCAATAATTCTTTTAACCAACTTCTTAACTCTTTGATTATTTTTGACAATTTATTTATCGTTAGAGCATATTGTGATTGTAAGTCAAGGTGCGTTCTTCTCTTTGTGTAACTTATCAACAATTTTGTTTTATAAACATCTTGCAATACGTTTTCTCTTTTTGTAAAAAGTAAAAGTTTGTAATACTTATAATATAAATGCAGAATCCCACTAAAGAAGACTTGAAAATCAACAGTCAAAACGTTTGTGAATCAACTGTTTTAATCATTAAAAAAACTATTGCAAAATTATCCTGCAATCTGTTCAGTATCTCCCACTATCTCACAGATCAAGAATTTTCAACACCGAACCAAGAATTTTCCTCTACAATAATCAACATTTTAAAACATAATATTTTCTTAATTTTGGTTTACTTATTTTTCAGTAATTCGTTGTTGCTATATATAAATAAAATAATTTACGAGAAGAGTTTATTTCATTCGGAGCAATTTGGTGTGTGAGTTAGTTCTGACAACTTGTTTAAGTAGCAGGTGTACCTCTCTCCCTCTTCTATTTTCTCAGCTTCCTTGCGTTCGTTCTCTAGTTTTGCTTCTTCCGCTTTTCTCTCGGCTTCCTGCTGCTCGATCTCCAGTATCTGGCAAAACTCAGCTTTTCGTTCTTGCGCAAGCTGCAATGCTTCCCACGCTTTTCTCTCTTCCGTTTCGAGTTGCAGATGTTCTTCTTCCGCGACTTTTCGTCTTTCCTCTTCCGACCTTTATTTGACAAAGTTGTAATACAAACGGCGAGACAAAATTTAATTAACGCGATGTGCATTAAAATTTGAAGAAATACACAAATTTTATATATCAAGAGGCGCGGTAGTGCTTCGCGCTCAGTATTCACAGTTTTAGCTTTCTTATAACATGCTAAAGAGGGAATGCGCACAAAAGTAGCGAGTTTTAATTGCATAAACTCGCTGCTGTTGTGCGCATTCCTCCCATCGTTTTAGCATGCTGTAAGAAAGCCAAAACTGTGAACACTGCTCGCGCCGAGTTCACGTGCAACAAAGTGGCGCTTGGACTGCGCGAGCACACCATGCCTTCTATACGCAAACTTTAAGTATTTAAGACGTGGGGAAATTTTCACAAAGGCAGTAATTTCAGTTACTGAAATATTACCCTGTAACTGATACAATCAATTTTGTTTTAGTCTTAATCGATTCAAAATAAAACATTTAAAAAGCTCAGAAATTTTTAAATTACGGAATGTATAGACATATGAACCTTTCGCTGGATGTTGGAGTCAAACCTGGGACCTCTCGCATTCCGTGCGATTACCTTTTCCATTTGGCCACCAAAGCACTTGATATCTCTTTGGCAATATTTGAATATATGACTGATTGTGAGAATAATGCTATTTTCCACCGGCGTGAATTTTTAAGACTCATATAGTTAAAAACTAACCACAGAATTTGTACCGGTATAGGATTTCTCATATTATAATAATATTTTTCAAATATGTGATGCATATCTAGCATTTTATATAAATTCACGACTTGAAATTTTAAGTCAAATAATCACGTGTATAATTTACAATCCTAAAATAAATATATATATATGTACTACCATGATCAAAAAATAACCGGAATTTTTAATTTAAACCTCGCGGGCTTATCGGTTTAGAATTCTGTTGTTTGTGTCACGTTGGCAGCACTGTTACGGACACCCATGCCAAGCTTCTGCTTATCAGCTGTTCATTTA